AAATTAGTATTTTGGAATACCTTTCATTCACCTATTGTATATAACTATGATTGTAGTAGATAAATTAAACTAGAATTATTGCACAAACGTTCAACCTATCCACACATTTATTCACTGATCTCTTTACTGTATCCCATTTTTAACGCAACAATTTTTTTATCAACATAATCGTTCACCACGGGGTATTTTACTTCTTTCCATAATTCACAAGTTTGTAATTAAGATTGAATGAATAAAACTAGTTAAACTTTTATAAATTTTGGTTAACTTAATGTTTGACAAACAAATATTTCCGCATTTCATTTTTAATTCTGTACCCATTTAAACTGACTCAGGATGAATATAGTATATAATTAGAGAATTTTAATGGAATCGAGAATGCCGTGCCGAAAAATGTCCTTAATTGATTGATTAGTTTTTATGTTAAAAAATATGTACTATGCCATGGAAACAAAAGAATAAAGTTCGTCAATACTATAGGACATGAATGTAATTAAGAGACTGTCAAGAAAATGTTTAGCTCAGGTGGATGATTATGGTGTTGTTTCGTTCTCTGAGCTGGATGTTTTGGTTGTGAAGCTTTCACAGTTCTTCTGAACAACATGATCCGCACAAATTTCAGATAGAAGTGAAGTATTCGAATTTCTGTTTCTGCTTCTTCTTTTTGTACTCGAATTTTAACTAACTGTATTTCACATATCAGAGACACAACTATTCTTAAGCAGCTGACTTGTACGATGGGAATATATGTAATTAGGAAAATTTTTAATGCCAGATTTTCGACTGGTAAAATGTTAAGTGATAGATAATCGCAATGATACTATTTAATTGAAGGATGGCTTCTCATAAAACCGTATTATTGATTTAAGACCATGAGCGCAGTGAAATAGAAAACAAGACCACTATTCAGATGAAAAGATTTGTAAATTTATAAAATAATTTTCTTATTTATATCATGGGAACACAAGAGCAACATCACGAAATGTCATAGGCTTTTGGAGGACTTCAGCTTGTAGATAACTGATTCTTCAGTTACTTAAACCTTGCTGTTAGGTATTGTTTGTGAACATCCTATCAAAAGTATGATCAGCAATCGAACATATAGTATTTTAAATGGAAGGTTTTGTCGCTTTTGGCAAATAGTTTAGAAATCAGAAACTTGAAAACTTATTACAACTCTTGGAATTGCTAAGAAAGAATTTTGTTTACCAGTAATAAGAATAAATATGAAATCTAGCCTGGTTGTCACGAGTTGGATTTTGCCAACAAACATAAACTGATAGTTAGTGATTCTGTTTTTTGAATTTCTATAATCAGTACTTTGATGAATCATGTTATCATCGGTGTAGAAGATGTGAGACTCTGACTCGATGAACAGATGATCAGGAAGACTTGGAAATAGTTTATCTGTTATTGACATTTCCAGTCTGTCAATTGCTTAAGTAACATTCACAAGAGTAATTTTAAACGTTTCAAAGGTTATTTAATGTATGTCAAGCATATTTGTTCGTTTATAAGCAATTTATTGTAGGAGTATATTGCTACCCTATGTGATTAAGATAGAAATTAGTTTGAAAAAAATGATAAGGAATCTAAACGTCACCCCGATTCCTTAGCATTGCGCCAGATTATATCGATAAATATTAATTAATCAAACTTTTCTATCATACTTCCTATCCATACTACTTCTGCAATCTTATTCAAAGGAGATTAATTACTGCAAGCATTTCATTCAGCTAATTAATCATTTCAATATGAAACATTTTACAACACGATTTATAATACGTGCGATAATGTGTTAGAAATGGAGCGGAATATGATAAGGCAAAACTATGAGTGATTTCACAAAGTCAAAATTTAGTAATAACTTGAAATACTCATAAATTATTTATTATTACAAGCAGACTAAACAATATGTACATTAACACATGCTAACATTAATTAAAAATTATATGTCCTTTGGAACGATCAAATCAACAGCTATTTATCAACGGAATATTAATTCCAGGCTATTTTCATAAATTCTATTTGAAAAAAGTAATTTTATCAAAGTTCTTCAAAGTATTTCTGTATTCCTAATGATGTGACATTTATGTGTTAAGGCAAAAAAATATTTGGATATCCGATTATTTGTAAGTTGTCTAGTCAATTTGGTCAATAGAACTTATTGACCATTGAAGATATTCGAAATTTTCAACAGTAGTTAACATTTTACCGTTAACAGAACTCATTATAAAATCACAAACTCGTACATTACAAATATCGAGAGTTAGATTGTATGTTTTGTTTTTGAATACTTTTAGTAAATATTTTTTCTCCGTAAAACAGTTAATTCAATTAAATCATTGTGTCATTAAAACAAGTATTATTTTACACTGTTATCTAATAAAACGTTTCTAATTACTTTTATGTTTACTATCTAATTAAAAAGTTGTTTTGTAAAACTCCCACAGTTGAAAGAATGCTAAAACAATTCACATATTAGTTTTTCAACAACCTACATGAATATTACAAAAATAAATAAATTACAGTAATTTTGTTGGGATTATCATTTGTTCGAAGTTCAGAAATACTTTCGCCTATATTTAGAAACATAATGTATTCTTCTTCCTCGGTATTCCAATCAGTAAAACATTGAAATCTGTTTACTTCGGTTTATAAAAGTTGAGAAGAAATATTGCTTTGGTTCTTTCAAATCGATAAATTTCTGAATGTAAAACTATTGAGCTTTATAGTGTTTACTAATACTTAATGAATGAAAGTTATTTCTAGCTGATAAGTTATATACGTTTGTAGTGTCTCAATGAATAAAAACGTTGACATTTATCTGACATTTCGTGACTCAGTGTAGGCCACTTCTTCAGAACTGACACATACAAATACACAAGCACATTTCAAATGAATCATCTTGACCAGAATGTCATGAGATTGACTTGTTAAGACCTGTTTTTACGACGATTCACTGATTAATTGTACTAAATATTTTTGATTTGTTCCACTGTACTATTTAAACTTCAGCTAAATTAATTCGTTCAGTTATTCTTTGAAGAAGTGGCTTTCACTGAGTCACTAAACGTCAGAAAAATTTTTAACTTAGTACGAGTCGTCTTCTTGATGCTACACTTACAGAATATATGTATGATTAGTTGACCATACGTTCGTTCATGTAGAACTCAGTGTATATATCACTTGTGTTATTAGGATATAAAAATACCTGAAGTTATTAACGATAAATTTTAAGTTTTCACCTTTGCTTACTTTTTGCTTTACTTGCGACTGTTACTCTCATGGGATACAGGCTGTCGACCCGGATTTTTTAACCAACTTTTTCCTGGCTTCACCTTTCCACTTGGTCCCGATTGCACATCATTCTCTTTCTCTTTATCTATATTGTTCTGCATTTAGGTGATTTCCACCCTATTTTTCCTATCCATCTCTAACACTTTTCCCTAACACAAACAAATGTGTCATATTTAACTTTTCTTATGAACATGGTTATATGGTGGAAGTACCATCGATACTATGGATGAGGTCTTAACTGAAATTGGAATAATAAGGACATAAAATAATTGAGTTTCGCCAATACTTTATAATTTGTAATCATACTTTAAGAGAGTGTATTTATTTAATTCCGTAAATTAGTGAAATTTGTGGATCTCAACAGTTCTATTTAAGGAAATCGTCCATTTATGTCCACCTAATAAGTTATTCATGTATAAATGTGAAGCGCTGTTCTATTTGGTATATTCAAATATAACTCTTAGTCGGTGTGAATAAAACAAACATAAGTCAGTGCACTCAAATATTGTCTAGATTAAATCACCATCTATCTTCTTCGTGTTCTCACCTGAGTTGTATAAATCACAGTTTCCTTTGGCTAGTACCCTTATTTTCAAAGTTATATCAAATACTATCAGCTTACATACCTGCTGAGAGGATGATAAACAAATGAAGTTAATGTGTTTTGAAATTGATTTTGAACCATTATGATGTTGATTATTTGTAAACAAACTATACTCTGTTTTCTTATTTACTTTACAATTTAAAAATAACTAAATTGATATAAACAGTAAACGGCAGAAATTTATGAAGTATTATGATATCTTATTCCAAAATAGAAATTTATAGTCTTCATCGATTTAATTTAATCGTTTTTTTAAGATTTTGACTACTACAAAAGTGATTTATTTGACTATTACTGTGAATTTACTATTAATCAATAAAAGCGAAAAATAAACTCATCTCATCTACGTTGTTCAACCTAACAGCAGTGCATTTGTGAAAGGATTCAGTTAATTAACAAGACGTTTAATATACAAAAAGTGGGTAAATGTACATATACGAGCAAGTCAAATCAATTACCTGAAATATGATATGATATCAATCACTTTAATTAAAAATTTATTTTATTTAAATAAAAATATATAGTTATCGACACTATTTATAAAAATACGAAATGCATTATCTAATAAAAATATCAGTAATAAATTTTTTAATTAAAATATGTTCTGAAACAAAATATGGTGAAGATTTTTAACATTTCACAATCAACAAGTTACAAAAACATTTTTATATTTTTTATAAATTTTGTATTAGAAGTTCAAGTATTTTTTTGATAACAGTTATCTAATCAGGAAAGAGGTAATGCGCCGTAGAAAAATTGTTTATATGCATATTTTCTCACTGTTATACACCATAAAGAATAATATTATTGTTTACAGACTGTTGGGGACCTTAAATACTCAGAAATTACGTGATAAAGGTCCTAATTTTGGATTTTATGTTTTAGCGCATGGGCTGGTCAGTTGACATTGAGATTGCATTTCCCACCCAGAAAATTCGAGGCTGTTATTGGTTCATGTGTTATCTTAGTACGCTATTTTTGTGCTATGCTATCTTTTTATAAATCAAACTTATTATTACAATTATCTGACTATTTGATATATATGTATATCATGCATAGTATTTTCTTTTAATTATTATTTTATGATGATATTTAGAGGATTATACACAGATATTCCACATTTGTGCTCTGAAACTGGTTACTTAATCTGGATTGAACCGAAACGAAACATGCATGTTTTGTTCACTTATGGTGATACAAACTGTGATTTTTTGTAAGTTAACCTTTTAGCAACATTTAAGAATTTTAATTGAACACTGTAAAGTTTGAATGGAGCTACATGCTTTTAGGATCGAAAGATAAAATACCATATTTCTACATTTTTGCCCATCTCAGGAGACATCAGTTAGAAAAATTTTGCAATTTTCAGAGAATCCTTACTGCATTTGAGATTTAGACAGTTGTAATTCAAAATCTTAGGAGCATAATGTACCTCATACATAACTTGGAAGTGACGGTTTAATAGTTAGAATAAACTGTGTCGATGAAATTAGTCAATTTACAGTACATTATACTCCAACGGATGAAGGATGCGCAGCAGCATTGATTGATTGAAGTTAGACACTAACACTTTAGGAAGCCGATTAGCTGGTCCAGAGGTTAAGCGTTTGCGTGCTATCAGATGGTCCCGAGTTCGATTCCTGCATACAGGTTAGGGATGTGCACTGCTGAGGAGTCGTGAGCTAGAACAAAATGGCCGTCAAGTTCTTCCAGGCTTCTAATGGTAGCCTAGCTTAGATCTGTTCATGATTTTAACTAGTAAAAATAATGCAGTCCCCATTATTAATATTAATCTGTTTGTTGTTACGTTTTAAGGACACTTTTTTCAATAATTCTTTTAATTTGATTAACAGGTTATTTCAAACAATTCACTTATGCGTCGTAACATACTTTGCATTTTATCTGAAGTAATTAAATTTTCGTGCAATGATTAACTGTAAGCAAGAGATAAAAAGACTTAATGAGCAGCTATTTATTTAGTATGTGATAATATTACTACTCATAATTTTATTATAGAGCCATAAAATGACAAATATACGATTGATCTGCACCAAAATTTTCTCAAGGAAATGTTTAAAATTGTATATACATTTCGATTAATATCAACGTAATACTAACATGAAAATTTAGACAGTTAAAAACGTTGAATTGAAAATGTCAGAATAATTGTAAAATTTTAAACGGATCGTTTAAATATTCTAATCATTTAATTATATGATGAATCTCCCAGGATCGACAAATAACTGACACCATGAAGCTGTGGCTAAAAATCAAAGTATTTTCTTTAATGCTGTCATTATCTGAACGAAACCAAAGTTCAGGTTGGTATTTACACAAAAGTTAAATAACTCTGACATACATTATTTTAGATAACATTCCTAATGTCAGTTATTTATTTGACTGACAGTCATTGGACAATTAGTTAAATAGTTTAAGTTATGAATAAAAACGTGATAAAAAATGATTTCTGATAAAAAGAAGTCACAGTAAAGAATGTAAAGAATGCTTTAAATTATTGCATTTAACAGTCAATTTTGTCAGTAATGCCACTGTTGCTTTTTCCAATATTGAATACATTTAAAATTCTACGTATACATATTTAACATCACAGTAGGTTATATTGCACTATTTATAATTGATGATGAGAAAATAGGAAGGTTAGAAAAACGAGTCGAAAGTTCATGCAAAGAAATAAAGCCATTAGTTTAATGCGTTACAGTTTTCAATATCGATTGAACACTAAGATTAACGTGATTAGGTCGTAATCTATTCAAGAAAATTCATTAACTAAATCAATTTCATCTTATTCGGCCATGATTACTGTTCTTAATTTATGAGAACTAACACATGGAATAAATTTACCTTATTTACAAATCATATCATCATTGCTGTGAAGGCGCTTGTAAACACTTGCCAAACTAATTCAACATCCATCTCAACTTACAATTACTTACCTAATGCACAGTACTCTATAGTGTGTGTAATTCTTAACCAAATATCGATTCGAAACTGTATTTACATTGTTACCTGTCACATAGCACATTAGCCAATATTCATTCGAATTACGAATCATACAATTTTACGCAATATATTAACTTACTAAAGTCAAAATTCCATATTAGTTATCTCATCATTAACACTTTTACTTTACGAACAGTATTAAATTCACATACTATACTTTTAAATCATTAGTTTACCTTAAACATGAATTATTATTTCGATTATAGAATTATAGAATGTGAAGAGAATTTATTGAAAAGTATATTCTCCTTTCCATAATTCTTTCATAGATGTTATTTAGAGCCAGAAGTTCCAGGTGTTACAATTAGCTATTTGGAACCGAACCGAATAAAACATTATCAACATTTTCATGAAAATGACTATAGGCCAATACAAATTCATTCAGGATTAGCTGCGTCGATTAATGGTTCCACTGGTACTAGATACTCATGTACAGGATCATTGTTCAATACTTTTTCTTATGCAATCGATTCTGAGGATGGTCAATGTTTTATTGAATTAAATGTTTTGAATAAAAAACAGATGAATCAATTAATTGAACCAATATCTCGTCCATTCAAACTAAATTTTCGTTTAGTTCTTTGATACAACACTGAATATGATAAGATTTTGTCTATTTCTATTATTTAAAAACACAACAGAATAAACATCTGTCATTCTGGAATGATGATTATGTAATTTTTCCACACACATTAGCTTATATTTCATTACTTTATCAGACTTTTTGCACTATGAATTTGTGATTGTTCTTCTGTGTGATTAACAAAAATAATACCACAGTTAGCTGAAATACTGCAAGTTATTTTGTTTAACTCTAAATATAATTTCATTTTTATGACAATAAAGTTTTAATTAAACATTTGATCAACTCACCCTTGTTAAAAATACCTGGATCACATTTCGACGTTCAACTAATTGCTTGACTGTTAATTGCTCATACTGACTATTTCAAATCTCATTCCTTTTGAATGGTTTGTGCTCGGAATATGTTTTTTAAGCGTACTTCTTTGTGACTGACACGATATTATAAATCATTCGACAGTTGTTATTCAAAGGAGTGTGTCAGTTAAAAACCAACTAGAACAAATGATGGGGAATTAATTTTCTAGTCGGACTGACACCTTCAGTAACCTGGCATTACTCTGTCTGTATAATTACAATGTTGGATTCTCATCCATATGCAACTCTTTTCAGTGAAACCTTATTCAATCTTTAAACTGTGCTGACAATAGAGAGGGAAGCATAGGAACTAGAGTAAGATAAAAGAGGCCAGTTAGCTGTTGAAGTGTGTAGTTCGCACAAAAGAATTCGTTTTTAAGGAGGCAAACTATTTTCGTCAACTGAAACTTGTATTTGAACAAAATAAAAACACCACATTATATTGATTATAATAAAATTTTAATTGATAGGTGTATCGAGATTGTTGACAATAATTCAGAAGTATCCATCGGATATGAACCTACTCGTACATTTCAGTTCACTTCAGCCCATTATGTTTGATTATAACAAACGCAGCTCTGTTTCTTTTTAATGTTTATGGTATAAGTAAACCTTGTTTTTCATGCAGACAATCTGATAGTGATATATGGAAGTCATCTGTGATTATGAGTGATTTCGACGTCTTATTTCTACTGAATTAATCCAAAGAATAGAAGTACTCAATTCCATTATTGTAATACAGTTTTTCCTAAACTTTTTATCTTTATTAGAAAATAAAAGAATTCCACAAGTCAATTAACAATTTATGCTGTTTCCGAAATTAGACTAGTGCACAAACTTGGTTGCTTAGTATCCTACAAGTACACAACTACCTGAAATCATCAGTTCTTCTCACTTCTCATATCAGACGATTTTTTTAAAATATATGATTATTGTTATAAAACAAATGTAAAGCAAGTATATGTCTGAGTTCAAAAGCTGTCGGAATGTTTATATAGAAAACGTGAAAAATATTGTATAAGATGGAACAGGTTATTTTTAGGACAAATTCTAGCCTAAGCATTCTTATCTGCTTCAAAAGAACAAATATATGTGTATTAGTTATTTGCATATCCAAATATTTTTCTTTACAGATCAAGTTTCGTAATCATTTCTAAAACTTCTCACTTCCACTGGAGGTTCGGAAAGTATATATCACGCACGTGAATGCATATCTTGATTGTAACAGCAACATGTTTTCTCCATCACTATTCGCACTATTTCTCGCGTCACTTATTTTCTGTGAATATATGCACATGCAGTAGTGATATAATAATTTTGACTAACGTGTTTTATTTTTATGAAATCATTCCTGATTGTTTATCAGCAAAAGACTAGCCTTAGTGTAATTATACAGGAAATAAGTTTATTCTTTTGTTACTCATACTTTGATAGACATTGTACACGTTCCAGCTTGGAATGTTTTATTTAGTATTTGATGAGAAGCTTTCGTTACATTCAGCATACAATTAAATGAGTCACGAGATCAAGTAAAAAATGAAATTAACAATAACTACAAGCACATCGGAAAGTAGATTGGATACCATAATTTGATCGCCAGACTATGTACATAGCGTCCTTTGGTAGTTAACAGACAATGACAAAATAAAATTTAGAAAATAACGTTACTTACTTGCCTCACAAAGCTAAATATGAAGAGGCGATGTATGACATCTCGCCTACGCCATAAACGCTTAAACTGACAAAAGACAATCAAGCTTTCTGTATCCGAGCCGAGATTTCGTCACAAACCAGGCCATCGTCACTGATGAGACTCCCAAGATAAGTGAAGCGGTTTACACGTTCGACTACTTCACTCCCTATCACTAGTTCAGGTGAAGTCGCAAGTCAATCCTGAAGCAACATTTTGCATTTCGAGGGTGAGAACCGCATGCTCAACATTCTTGCGTTGTTGCTTAGGGTAGTCAGAAGACTGCATTTTGTCAGCGTTTTCACCAAATGGAACTATGTCATCGGCATATTCTAGTTCAACAAGCGATCCTCCTAGTAGAAGGTCCACCCCTGAAAAATTGGACGAGGATAATGTTAAATCTAAGAGGATGTCTACGATAAAGTTAAACAAGAATGGACAGAGTAGACATCCCTGACGGACACCACTTGAAGTAGAGAATTCCAATGAGAGTTCACCATAGGCTCTTACTCTATAAGCGGTGTTGGAGTAGAGAGCTTGTATATGGTTAATGTACTTCTTTGATACACCTTTCAATGACAGACACCGCCACAGAACCTCACGGTCCACAGAGTCGAATGCCGCCTTAAGTTCGGAAGACTAAATGTGTGTCTGTGTTCCAGGACCTGTCATAGTGTAAAAATGTAGTCTATACAGCTACGTCCAGGTCTGAAACAGGCCCGGTTTTCTCTAGTCTGCTCTTCACGAGCTTTGATTAAGCGTCGAAGTGTTATTGAGGCAAGTATTTTAGATACTATATTGGTTAAACTGATTCCCCTGTGATTGTCACAAAAAGACTTTTTTCCTTTCTTATAAATCGGGACAATCAGTGATTGATACCAGTAGCATGTGATGACATCCAGTTCCCAGATTCTACCTAAGATCAGTCAACCTAGCTGCTAAAACTGGACCACCATCCTTAAAAGTCTCAGGAGACAATCTATCAGGTCCTGCTGCTCTTATGTCGATATCCCATTCAGGATGACTGGAAATCGTGGGCAACCAAAGTGTGGCTGAACGCCAGTTGAACTGATCCCTAAAGTGTTCTGCCCATCGATCCAGTCTCCTGGATTGAGAGTGAATGATACAGCCATCCTATTCTGAGATCGTTTCACTGACGACTTCGGAGGTCGCCAGGTCAAGAGATGCTTTTCCTTATGCCTAAAGTTAGTGTTTCCTAGAAATAGGCGGTTATCTGAGCATACTTGCAACAGACGGTCGCCATTGTCTGTTCTATTAACCGCGAGACCATAACATCCACCAAGGTGTCTTTTCTGCTCACTTAGTCTACCTACTTGAGCATTAAAGTCGCCAGCCATTATTACTAAATCAGAGCGCTTAACTTTTTGGAGGAGTTTCCAAAGCTTTCTGTAAAACTCATCTTTCACCTCGTACAGCGCAAAAAACGACTATCTACTGGGATCCAGTGTAGGAGCGCTAGTGCTGCCCTATGACTCAGTGCTATGCCTACGCCATCTATCATAGGAAATCCTTGAAAAGGCGTTTTTGTTGAAAGAAATTTGTGGCTGTTTGCAAAAATCAAATCTAATGCCGATTCTTAAAGGTCCCATCAGATGCCACGATAACACTTGGAACACGGCAACAACTTGGGAGTTTTATAGTGTCGTGGAACACTTCTACGATGAAAACGCAATTGGTGTTAATGAAATATTCATTACTGTAGTCCTTTCGTTTAATTATACCGAAGACATTTTTTTTACGTGCGATATTTTGTTGTCGCGTTGCCGCCATAATAAATTACACGCTGCTTCCCACATTCTCCTTCAAATATATTCTTTATCCCGAATTAATATTTATTACCGTGACGGGCTAATAATTAGTTATTAGTGTTTAGTAGTGATCATGGTCAATCTGGACTCGGTCACCAATAAAACAGCATGTCGATCTTTGTTCAGATCTTAAGCTAGTAGATGCAAGAGGTTAAGCATTAAATACACAAACCTTAAAAAATTCATTATGAAATAACCGGAAATGTGCTGCTTTCACAAAATAAGGAAGCAAGTGAGTACTTCACTTGTGTGGTTGTAATCTAAATAGATGTTGCCTAGCTAAACTGTCAACCACCTAATTAGGTTGTTGTAGATTTACTGAACATCAAAAATTTTATTATCACCCTGGCTACTGTAGGCGTTTATCTCGGGGTTCCATTCCTTAATCACTTCCTCTTTTTTTCGGAGGGACACCTTGAAAATACTGAAACTATGGATTTCTTGTTCCATGGAGATATTTTCACGTTTTTTTGAAAATGACAGCTCAGCTATTGGCACTTTCTCTTTCATGACCAGAAAACAACTAGATATTTCTCCAAGCTAAGCCATTATACTACTTGTTCCAGTTTATCATACTTTCTGAAAACTCAGTGAACCTGAGTTCTTGTTTTGTGTGTGAGGTCAGTTAGCCTCAAGGCTTCTGAAAAATCTGCGCTTTCATCATGAAGAATCAAGTTTCTTATGCATATGTCTTTCAACTACTTGTTTCTAATCACCTTCGTATCTGTAAATATGCTACTGATTATGAGAATTTAGGTGGTTTGTAAAATTTCATTTTGATTAGCTTGTAGTAAATCCACTTTAATGAAGAGAAAGCAACTGATTTAATAGAAACAATCATTATTATAACCAGTGATTGTTTAACTATACCCGTGAACTTCCTCTTTGCGTTGTTGTTCCATCATCTGTGTGGTTTCCTAAATGTTTCTGGCACGATTTCGGTATTCTTTCAATACTGCGAAATCGTCAATAAATATGTTCTTTACTATGGAATAACCATTCTTCTCTGTGACGGGTTCGTAATTGCTGTTATCATAGTCTATGTCGAAGCGATCGCCACTACAAGCTTCTTCACCGGATATCACTTGCACAGGATGAGCTTGTTTACCTCATTCACAATCACCCACCCTAATTTATACCATTTATACCATTCAGAAACAGCTTATTCATACATAAGTGTTGTAAAGGAACATTGTCGCATTTCGTCCAAAAATGCTGTAACATACAAGAGTTTTCTATGCGTACATTCGCCACAATTAAACAGGTTTTGTACTGTGAAGAATATAGTTATGTTGAGTGTAACGAAAAAAGAGAAGAAAATAAAGCATAGTGAAACCAAAATACATTTAGTGAGCAAGTGTGTGGAAGACAAAAGGAGTAATATAACTTCAAAGAA